ATATATTTATTTAATCGTAATAGTTAAACACTCATATCTATATTTATATAAAAAGTCATCCTATTTACTAGAAATAGTAGGCAGAAAAGTCAAAGGTAATTAATGCATTCTATTTCCATCAATTATTTTATTTATTTATTTTATCCCATAACATCGGTTTAATAAAAAAAATTCCATAAAATCGGTTTTAATGTCAAGCCTATAAATAAAGATTTGATCGGTCAAAATTAAATCTTTATTTTACGTCACTCATAAATAAAGCCGATGTCAAGCCTAAGTTGAAGGATTTAGTTGTCTATATAGTTATTGGTTTACGTAAATACATCTAATGTTTAAAGTTTGTGTAGATTGAAAATTCTTTCTTATCTTTTTACCAAAAATCTTTTCTAATTGTATGAAAAATCTGTTCTGATTTGTTCGTCTAGATGTAATCTGATTTCTGTATATTGAGATTTTTTCATAAAAATATTAACAGCTATTGTATCTACTCTACCAATTATAAATTAAAAATCTTAATCAAATAAGTTAATAGGTCTAATAAACCTATGCTTAAAGTTCGAATTATAAGAATGTTTTTCCAAGACTGGGGCAACACATACAAATCCTATCTCGAGTTGGTTCACCAAATTATTTTTACTTTTTTTTTTATTTCAAAATATGAAAAGTATATTTTCGATTTTTTTATTTTATTTTTAAAATTTAGAATTTGCCTTATTTCTTCTAGATACCGTGTATATATTTAGATATTTACATTATTTATATTTTTTAAACAAATTAATTTTTTGTACATTGCTTTTTTGTACATATTTAGGGAAATCGCATTACGGCATGGCTACAGGCATGTGTCCCGTACAAGAAGGTTTTTAATAATATATGATTGTTTCTTTGTCCAATACTATCTTATTGCACAATTTTCCTACGTATTATAAAACTTTTATTTAATATTGCATCTTATAATATAATATTCCCCAAATAAATATATCTCGTGTCTCGCAAGGGTTAAGTACTATATATATCCCGTATATTTTTCTTTATTCATATATATAATTATAGGGAGAGTCTACAGTCCCGTTACGGAACCACTCCGTCGGGATTGGTAACCGTTAGATCAACTATCCACGACGGTTACATGATGATCTAACGGTTACAAATTCCGACGGAATGATTCCATAACGGGATTGTAGCATTTTTCATAATTATAAACCTGGATAAATAGCCTTAAAATTGTACACCCCGTGCGATGCACGGACTCTGCACTAGTACTAAATGAAAATATAAAACTCATATTGAATTTTGTTATATGTTATATGGCAAAAAGTCTCCTAAGCCTGCCCGAGGAATTCAATCAAGTGCTGACCAAAATCCATACAAGTCCATGGTTCCGGCTAAAAAAAAAATGTATAATGAGCCCAAGGGAGAAACAGCCTTGAATAGGTCCATGTATAAAAGAGGCCCGAGAGCGGCTCAATTCCTTAAATAAAATTTCCGGTGCAGGCAAATTAATTCGTCGACCATCCTACCATCGTTTTTTCTTTTTCCTTTCCTATTTACTTTCTAATCACATTTAAACACTAATAGCACCCCAAATAACATACTACCTCTTCGGTACTCTAGTTGACGAAGACGAACGTCAACATAGGGTATTTATATAATATTTATTATTTGGCAAAAAATAAAAAATAAAAAATAAAAACTATAAATACCTTGGCCAGTTCAGAGAACAAACGTAAGAAAGAAACTAGAAATTTGAACAGATGGCCAGCCAGTAAAAGGTAAAGTACATATATACATTCATCAATCTCCATTGTTGTGCACCTTCTTGCTGTGCTTCTTCTTCACATTACGCAGCCACCCAATCCCTTTGGCAGCCTTGGAAAATCTCACCAGATTAGGCTTCCCAATCCCCAGATTCATCATCTTCACAGAAGAAAACTTGAGTGCCTGCAGACAACACAAACCTCCCCTGACTTGATCATCTTCGCTATCATAACCGTCTTCTTCTTCTTGTTGTTTCTTCTTATTTTTCATATTATTATAATCATTTTTCGCCTTCATTTTATTCGACTCGTTCTCATACGTCTCCCATAATAAATCCATCCCTTCCTCTTCGCACCGCTCGTCTAACAACTTGCACGCTAGAGACCTTTTCCACTCCTTCTCCATAGGATAGTGTTCACTAGCTGCAGTGATGTCATTTACCTTTTTAGTTTCGTTTTTCTCTTCTTCTAAATTCTGCATTCTCTTTTCTTCTCCCTTTTTTTCTTCTGAGACATCAATTTGTTGCGCTTCATCTTTTGCCTCCGCTTCGTATGAACCGAAAACGGCATTGTAAATCTCGAGCTCATTAAACCCACAAAAGTTTTCGCTCTCATAATACTTTTCCGGGCGCAATTTTTCTAGAACGGAATTATATACCAAGAAAAGGTGTTTTGCGCTGCCTTGACTTGATACAATATTGGAGAACAAGTTCTCATTGGGGAGAAGAATGAGGAGAAGAATGGAGGTGATGATGATGAAAAGAGGAGATAGGAATAAAAATTTGACGAGTTTGAGAAGATATGGTAAAAAGTAAACGAAGAAGGCAAAGTAGAGAGGGTGCGAATGAATGGCGGAACATAAACGAGTCAAGTTCGAGATGAGAACACCAGAAATGTGGATTTTTTTGGAAGTTAACCACTCAGACATTTTTCTTTTTCCTTTTTGTTACTTAGTTAAATTGGATATTTAGAGAGAGGGAGAGAGGGAGAGAGAGACTGTAAAATGGTGAAGAAATGGAAGTGAAGAAGACAAGTACTGTCTACTTATTATGGCAGTGAACATGGGCTATAATAAAAATGAAAGGAGGAATTATTGATGAGAGAAAGTGGAGTGCATAACCAACAATGGTGAAAAGTGTATAACATCATTTGCTTTTTTGAAAAGCTCTTTTTTTTTGGTTCTAACCACCACAGAAAGATGTCTCTTTATCAATCATGTAATTAGGACAAACCATTTAACTGTAGCAGACAGATTCTCCTTCTATAATACACTTTTTTACCAGCCTCTTCATAAATTCCCTTTCTCACCCATCCACTTTTTCTTTTTTTCCACTTTTGATTTCTTGATTACCAATTTCCAGAAATCCTCACCCAACTACAAAATACAGAAGACTGGAATAATCTAAATCAGTTCTACAAACCAAAATACAAATGAAAGTAATGAGTAAATTCAAACTGAAGTTGGAATGATTTAAAAGAGGAAGGTAAGAGGTGACTGATAATGAATCCTAAAGGCCTTTAGGTGTAGAATGGGGTTCTCTTCACATGGGAAACTACTCAAATTATCATGGCATTACTACAGACCAAACCCTTTTGAAAACTTCTGTAACAAAGGTGATGTGATAATACCCGACCCCAGTCCAACAACCAAATGGATGTGTGGACAAAGATGTGTTGACTATGAGATATGAAGTGAAAATACATATTTAGAAAAATCTATCGATATATATGTACACATAAATGTTTGTATTTATCTGAAATAGAAATTAAAATCTCGCCTAAAATTGCAGAATTACTAAAATAAGTAATTTTTTTGACAAAATTCTGAATATCCCGCCTAAATGTGTTCCAAAATTTTTCAAGAAAAAAAAAAAAAAATTAATTCAAAACAATTTAAAGAAAAAAATCATAGAAAGATTTTTTTGGATACATTCTATCCCGCCTAAATCTGATTTGCAATGAATAACGAGTGAGAAGAAATCTTATTTTCATTTTTGCAATATTGTGAGGATACCATTTTAAATAAGATTTTATGTATGTTTGACCATTTAAAGATACTAGTAATTTGCAAGTGCGGTGCAATAATTTATATTTTTATGTGATTTTAAATTATATTTTATCTCTTATATTTTTATGGTCTATTCAATTTTTTGTATTATTATTTTCAATTAATAAAACAAAAGAAGTCATTACATACTTAACTGTCAAATATAATATATATTGAAAGTTGAAATATAATTTTGAAAATAATAATATTTCAAAATCATGGTGAAAAAGATTGTATGAAAATTTTGGATGTCACACCTTTTATCATCTAAGTTCGTCTTGTTTATTCGAAATGTGAAATGTGAAAAAATGGGTGCAAAGAATTTGATATGTGAGATGTGAAAAATTACGTTGAGGGGAAAATAAAAAATTATAAAATGAAAAATTGAATTGAGGATAAAATAGTATTTTTACATGACAAAATGGCTAGAGTTCATCTTTTACAAAACGTGGCTAAAATTCATGTTTTGTAAATTTATATGACCATTTAGTGGTATTAACACAAACACTAAGGTAATCTATAGTTGAAGTATTCTTTACATATATAATATTTGAAATATAAAAATTTCTATATTACGTTCTCTTTCAAGTTCGTAAGTAGAGAACACAACATTTATAAGGGCGTAAGTGGATATAGATATATTGGTTTTGATTTATGTTTTTTTGGTTAACCAATAATAATTTTAGAAAAGTTGATTTAATCAGTTTTTAGTGAGATTTTAAGTTTGTAGTAATAACATTTAAAATAAAATAATTAAATTAATTTGACAGATAGATGATTAAATGTGATATGTAGTTAAATTATGAGTGGATGAAATGTAAATTAAAGTTGATGTGATATGTAAAAATGATTGATTGATATTATTTAATTATATTTATAATATTGAGAATAATAAAATTGAGTTAAAGTTAATTTAAATTTTGAATTGAGATTAGATTTGAGTATGGAGTCACACCATAAAACTCGAAGAAATAATTGTCAATCTAAATTTCAATCAATATTCATTCTCCTGTTGGGAGTAGGTTCATTCTCCTGTTGGGAGTAGGTCTATTCTCCTGTTGGGAGCTTTGATTGTGTTTAGTGTTTATGTGTTGTAGTTAGATTGGTTCTAGGCTGTCCTGGGCGAGATGCATATGGGTCAGTCCTCCCTTATAGATTCAACTAGTGGCTGTATATTCGGCTTTTTAGCTGTTTCTAGTATGTAATTATGTGTTTTATTTTAATGGAAGTCTATCGTTTTGAAAAAAAAAAAAAAATTCAATCAATATAATATTTATGGCGTATGTTGGTAATTGACTTGACATTGTCAATGTCATTGTACAGACCAATGTTCTTATTCTGTAAACCAGACCGATCGTCGAACTGATGAAGCTACTGATTCAATGGTTCATTGGTCCGACCAATGGTTGAAGAGATTTGACTGATATTTAATATACTAATATTTTTAAACATATGGAATATTTTATATATAAAATTCTGTTAATTAAATATTAAGCCAATTTAAAACATTCAAATATTTAAACTAACTTATAATAACTTATATATATCCATTATATTTATGCACATATTAAAAATATTTTTAAATAGATTAAAATTAAAAAAAAAAAAAGGACGGGACCAGTTTTTGTCCAGCGGTTTTCTGTTCATTCTAGCAAACCAAAACGGTCAATTGACCGGTTCCCAGTCCAATCGGTCGGACCGCCTAGTCTGGTCCGATTTCTAGACTGTGGTAGTGACTATTGTACAGATAGCATTCTTGCTCCAAGTTTGACGATGTGCCACCGTAAGTTACAAACTTGTCACTTGTCTATAGAGTGCCATGGGAAATTCAAATTTGCAAGCTGTGTAAGTTTCTCGTCATTGAATAGCTACATGAAATATGCCGATACAGAAATATTACTGAGTTATTTACTTCTTTGTATGAGATGGGGAATGATGAAAATATCAATATTGAACTATTTTAAGTAAATATGTATTTCCAATTATATGTAAGTCCAGAATCATAACCAAGTATTTCCGTTATTAATTATGTGATCCAAGTTATCCATAGGTGAAAGAACTATCTCACAAGAATTATGGATAAGCTACATGCATTCACTTCAATATTCTAATAATCACACTACACTTGTAAACAAGAATGGATCACAAGGGCTGGACAATAACAAAGTAATTCACAAGCAAGCAGAAGCAAGGCACAATCTAACAATCAATCTCAAGACAAAATCCACAAAGTAGCGTCAGACAATCAATCAACCACAATCAATCTCAAGACAAAATCCACAAAGTACTGTCACATGTCACATGCACCATGTTGACTTATCATGGTCCAGATAACTACACATTATATTCACGAAACGCCTAAAATGTTCTCATGAGATAAGTGAGACAAGAGAGACAAACTCGTGTGTGATTCGGCCCTTCGATCTTGTGTTGATCACAAAGTGCTCCGGGTATTTCCTTAACAGAACAAGGAGTCCATACCATGGCTTTTCTTGGGCCTCAGGGACTGAATAATCCTCGGATGTGAGGTACCTCCTCACACGACTATGATGCCAGACATTGCCATATTGTTCCATCAACTGCCCAAAACATCAAAGGTTGCATTATGAGGTCAAGGTAAAATTACGAAACTATCCCTGAGGTTCGAGCTAATGATGGAGCACTCAGGGTATCTTCAAATTAGAAGTTCTAGATAAGGTTCACAACTGCTTAAAAATACCTCCTAAATAGCAAGTTGAAAGACATAAACCAATGTCAGGGGCATATAGGGGATTTTAGCACAATAGTTCTGTTGTAATTTATACTGAACCTCTAGAGTGCTTTTCAGAATTCACATGATCAAATGGAATCAACTAAATGAATGAACATCAATACTAAAACTGAGTTACAGAGATACAGAGGTCATAATGGCATTAACATAAAGTCAGGGTAGTTTAGAGTTTGTTTCTACATGGGTAAAGCAACCCCATATATCATACCAATTAGCAAAACAATTGCCAAATCATTAAAAGGAAAGGCATAAACTATTAGAATGTATGCCACTGGTTTATCTTCTGTAAGGAGAAAGGTTTCATGTACATAATGTATGACGTCACCAGACTAACAAGGAGAATCAAGAATATCCGAAATTACTAGAAATCAGGACCTGGAAAAAATTACTCGAAATCAGGACCTGGAGAGAATGAGTAAGCAAGACAACAATGCACATTAAGGCAAAAGTTACCTCAGACTGAAGTTTCTCCATGGGCATCCATTCTCCAGGACCACATAAATCTGACAGGACAGTAGCCACTGATGATACAACATCCTTTTCCTCTAACTGAAGGAGCTGATTGTTGTCAGCTTCCCTGTTAACCCGTGATCGTCCATCAACGTTTTTATCTGCACGAAATCAGATCAAAAATAAGAAATTGAAAAAAGAGAAAGATTGCCTTTAACTTCTATGTCTGTAGCATGGATCATCTAATCCTATACCACAAACAAGGTCTTCAGCACAGGCAAAAGGTTTGCGGAGACCCTAGAAAGTGTATAGCTAATTATTTGAACAATACTTAAAAGCTGTTACTTGAACGAGCTGTAACTTTCTAATGCATGCTTTAGTTCACTTGCTGAACTCATCAACTGACCTCCATACTGTTTGTAACTTTGTGTCAGACACCATATCTACAGGAAAAATAAAATGTTCACATGAAAAAATGGTGGAGGATGAAAGTGGGTTTTCCATAGTGGCAGGCTTATGATTCCGACATAATTCATCAAAATTACCCAAATCACAAACAAAAAGAGATGAGGCCAGCTTGACGTCATGGTCTTATCTGTGCCTAAAGCATAAATATGCATCAAGATTTACTACTCATTATCACTTGTAACTGTTTACTATAAAGTGGGATGCACCTGTAACAAAGCAACCACATTCACTAGTCCCTAGACATGGACAACAAACTTGAGAAATTCAATACCCGAAAATGGAACTTGAGAATAGCTGTGACAAAAAATGGAACATGAGAAATTCAATGTACTTATAGCTGCCACCCAAAAATGAAACAGGATAATCTCATAATCAAACAGATCCTGAAATTTCAGGCACCAGAAAACTTATCCCAGGTTAGCTTGCAATCTCAGTAGATAAACGTAAAATAACTCACCCAATTGCCCTGAAACCCCTGCTTCAATCCTCCTCGTCCTCCTCCCCAAGTCCTCCTCCTCATTATAGTCTCCCTCATAATACTCTTCCCTCACTCTACCCTTCTTCCCATACACTCCACCACCCAAAACTGGAGGCAAAATTAAATGACGCTGCTGCTGATGCCGACTCTGATGACCATCGTGATGATGATGATTAGCCACGTGATGCCTGGGCCCGATCGGGCCCCCTAGAATACTCCTCACCGGAAGCAGAAAGTAGAATTCCTTGTCCCCAATCTGCAGAAGGTCCTGCGAGTCCAGCTTCACAGGAGGGTTGCCAGGTAGGTGGAGGACGCCCTCGACGAGGCATCCGTTCTTGCCGAGCACCTCCAGGGCGAAGCGGCGTCGCTGGAAGTCGTAGAAGATGCGGGCGTGGTGGCGGCTGATGTTCATGCCACCACCGAGGGAGGAGAGGTCGACGTCGACGGTGGACTTCTTGGAGTTGCGGCCGAGGATGATGGAGTAGGTCTGCATGTAGTACTCGAAGTCCTCGCCCTGAAGCTTCGCGAATCCGGCCTCCACGTCGCTGCCGGAGCTATTCGCCATTGCTGAATAATTTGGGGTTAGCAGTTTGATTTGTCCCAATTTGGGAGAATGAAAAGTGTTTGTGGACGGACAATTTGGGGAGCGGTCCTTTGCCGTGAGGTCAATTTGGGGAGAGGTCAATTTGGGGACGGCCCGTGACGCCCTAAATTTTCGCCTGTTTTACTTTTCTTTTTCTACCAAATAATCCGACTTTTTGACGGAGTGCATCAAATAACATTGTATTATACTAAACTAATAAGTATGAGTCACATTCAGTGCAAGAAAGAATATTCATTAATATTTATAAATTAAAATATTTTATTAAGTAATATTTATAAATTAAAAATATAGAATCAATATATAATACAATTATCTATACTAAATTTATTGAAAATATTATATAAAGTTTAATTGTACAAAATTACATAAAAATGTCTATTTAGAAATAGTACACAACCCGTATGGTGCACATAACTGATCATAAATTACATTATTTTCGTTTCAATATAAGTATCATTTCAAATTTTTTATTCAAAAATTCGATTTTACTATAATGTGATTCCATAAAATAGTTATTTTGGTAAAATGTTATCATATATTTAACAACCTATGTGAATAATAAGTATAAATATAAAATTTATATTGTTTCATTACTTAAAATAATTTATTTTCAAATAAACTATTCAAATAAAAAAATAAAGTAGTTGAGTAATTTATTAAACTATAAATAATTGAATATTTCGTTTACGTCCAAGTTAATATTGACCCGCAAGTTATCGAATAATTATTTTTTATTTTTAATAGCTGCAAGTTTTGTGAATATATTATATTCTAAATTTAAATCATGTAACTAATAAAGATAAAACCGCAATGTTTGACCAAAATGATTCTGTACATTAATTTAGGCGAGATTTTTCAAATTTTGGCAAAAAATATTACTCAATATAGTAATTACTTTAGGTAGGAAACCAAAATATTACTCCGGAGGACCTCGCACAGTCCGAAGCCCGTTGGAACATCGAACCCCGACGAACCACCTAACTATCGAGAAATCACATCTCAATGAAAGGCCAGGGGCACAGACGTGCGGCGACGACATAATGGCCGCGCGAAACGCCCCGCGCGGAGGACACGGCGGTAGAGGAAAACCGACGGCTAGGTTTTTTGATTTGAGGGAGATAAATTTTAGAGAGAGAAAATTAACTCTGTATGACATAATTTTTAGTTTCATAGTTTATAAAATTGTGCAAACCCAATTTGGGTTTGCATGTTTGTGCCGCTCGATCATCTAGAAACAATAAAAAATTAAATAAACAATAGCTCATTGCCAAAAATTACTACTCAAACTCCAACAAAAAATGCATTCCGAAGTTTACAAATCGTTATAAATGCGTCAAGAAATTTGCAAATTGCTATAGATGCCTTTATGTTAGAATTGTTAGAGCTTAGAGGACATGAAATATTACACACTTATACATAAATATACACACACATTATTATATAATAAGAAACTGGATACAATTTAAACTACAAAACGAAGCAGAATAAGGAATCTACTAGATCAAATCAAATTGACATGCAGTGATGGAATAAACATAGCGAATCTACCAGAGCAAACCATATTGACATGCAGTCATGGTATAAACATAGCACTCCCAAAAAACCAGAAATTCTATGGTGCCCAAAAAACAAAGAAAGGCAGCTCAAGTATTAATATCATTTCCCAGATTAGTTCACTTCACTGGAACATAGCTCTAGAGTCTAGACAAAAGCTAAAATGCTGGGTAAAGCTTGCAACCATCTCATTTATTATTTCAGAGGAACGCAGCTCTCGACAAAAGGTAAAATGTTCGGTACCATAGCTTGAGGTGCACCAGCAATGTTCTCCAACTTGCCCGTTGCATAATCAAAAAACATCAAATCAAGATGAAGAGACTCGCCAAAAATTATTTTATTATCACTCCCAACGAGGCTCCATGCCCTCATAGCACGAGGTACGTCGAACGTGGACACCAGAGACCACGTCCATATGCTCTCATCCCACACCCAAACTTCCAAACTACAAATAGGATCATCAGTAGGATAACTTAACGTGTAAACAACAGCACCAAGCGAACCACCGAATTCCACCAGCGTCAAATTACAATATGGTCTACTGATTTTCTCGCTTTGAGGCACGTGAATAGGACGTGAACCAAACTTCTCAGTAACAAAGTTAAAAGACATGATAAAACCCATCTGTGAGATATTTATCCAGTAATAAGAATCATTTACGCGAATGCCCCCACAGCATGGTTTAGTGTGAGGAGGAATGTTGACTGGTTTCCATGAATCAGTTGCGAGCGAATACAGTTCAGCTATCATATTAGTGTCCTTAGTCTTAGGTATGAGAAATCTTATCACCTTATAGTCCTCAGAAGCTGAATCAAACCCGAAACCAAAATTCGTCCAGCTCGACTGGCAAAGCAATGTTAAAAAAAAAATCTTACTTTTGTCCCCCTCTCATAATAAGTTCCTGGTTTTGGTTTTGCCCCAACACAGAAAGTTTCAACAAACAAAAGGCGCCTTAAGAGCAACAAAAGAGGGGTGTACTTACTTAGAATTTCCAAAGACTTCAAATTTTACATTGAAGTGAAAAATTGAGTTGAGATTGATTCCAAAGAAGTTGATATACTTTCCAAGGAACAGTTGATTGTTATGGATATATTCAATGTATCCAATTTATGAGGAATATAAATCTCAATAATTAAAAGATGCATTTCCAATAGTACCTTGGGTCCAAAGTTGCGGGAGATGGAGGAAGGATTTTGAGTTGGTGGGTGGTGGGGTTCCATAGTGCCTCCCCTGAACTCATTCTTGTGTCTGTCTTTTTATCGTATAATCCATAGAACAAAAGCAACACCAAACCATTGCAATTTGCAAGTAGCAACGGGGTTATGAAAAAACTTTGGATAATTGATATATTGTTCGAGTTTATGAGCCGTATCCTCGATCGAAATAAGCAACAAATTTAACTTTCCCGGGCCTCTATACTGCGATAAACTTGCTCTTATCCTTTGAACAGACGGGGAGAGGAGCGTTAGAGAAGGTTCTACACAAATTCAACAGGGGTTTCAATTTTGATCTAAGATTCAGAGACATGACTGCCATTTCTCTGTATGGGGCGCGCTCAATTGTTCATGAAGGAAAAAAGAAAAAAAAAACACTTATAGGGGTTATTGTTTATGGATTCAACTAGTTTTTATTTGGTTTGTTTCTTAATTATAGAAAAAAAGTGATATGGTTAGTTGTTAGTGGATATATTAAAATAATATTTAAATAAAATAATTAAAATTAATTTGAAAAGTAGGAGAAAAATGATTGGAAGTGATGGTTAGTTAAAATTGTGTGAGTGGATGAATAGTGAATTAAAATTGATGTGATGTGTAAGAATGATTAGTTGATATTATTTACTTATATTGATATTATGGGAGATAGTGAAGTTGAGTTAAATTTGAGTTTTGATTGTTTTTTTTACTGTACAAACTATAAACAATCGTCCCCTAAATAGGCTCTCTTTATTGGACAATTCATTACACGGTTCAGCCCAACCTAGACTTGTCAAAATTGCCGGTGGGGCGGGACGACCCGCAACCCGCCAAAACCCACCATTTGGCAGGGCGGGGCGGGCCGACCCGCCATCCCGACGGGCTTTTAAATGGCCAGCCCGGCCCACCCTTCCACGGGCCGCGGGCTAGGCGGGCTGGCCCGCCAATTTTTCAAAAAAAAAAAAAAAAAAATTGCTGCAGGATTGAATAAATAAGGCATAAGCCACCTGCTAGCCTAGACAATTGCATACAACATAAATAAGAAAACCACCTGCTGGTAAAAGATACACAAAATTTTTAAGAATTTATTTGTTTTAATTAGACCCCGACCGCAACTATGTTCTCTTTATTTGTTTTAATTTGTTTTTATTTTTTAATTTTAATTTTTAAGACTTAATGAAAAAAATAAATTAAAAATCATATATGAAATACAACATACTTATATTACATATATTATTATTATTATTATTATTTTTTTCTGTAATGACGGGCTGCCCGCGGCCCGCGCGGGCCAGTCCGTTTAGGCCCGCCATTTGGCGGGCCTATAAAATGTCAACCCAACCCACCTGTTTGCCGGGGTGGGGCGGGCCAGCTTGCGGGCCCAAGCCTATTTTGACAAGTCTAGCCCAACCCATCGAAAATAAAATATTAAAAATTGTGGGGAAAGTGTTTAAACATGATTTATATACATTAACTATCCTTTTATGTGTAGAATAAAATTTGTGGGCTTACAAATTCTATTAAAAAATATTTGGTATAAAATCATATAAAAATTGTCCACTTACAAGTGTTCATTCTCAACGCAATTAACATATTAAGCATCTAGAATGTACAATCGTCATGTGAAACACATTATCGAGTCAGATTAATGAAGTATATTATAAAGATTATCAGTAATGCTAAGGAGCTAACTGTTGGCTTCGTTATGGAGTCAATAGCCAACTGTCCCACATTGGAGTCATATAAGCATATAAGAATAATTCATGTAAAGGAAGTTAAAATTGGAGACAAAATATTAGTTCAAATACTTGAGGGAATTAAATCGTGTCGTATACAACGGCCTATGGGGTTGGATGAACGGGTAGTCACGTGAACTTAAAGTATTCTGTTGTATTTTTGACACCAATTCCATTTGTGGGCGATGACTATGAAACTCTCATAATCACACTTCGATGAGTTTTTTTCTGTAAAGAATGAATAAAACCTTGTACTTGGAAAACATCAGTGTTCTAGAAGTGTTCTAGAAGTCTGATGCGGATAGGTGTCGGAGGATCAAGAACGCATACAATCATGCGCGATGTGCGCGCATGAAGGAGAGCCGCACGACAACAACGAACTACGCAGAGACTGTGCGAGCACCAGGTAGCGCAATCGCGTGAACACTAGACAACACGACCGCGCGAGACAGCATGCGACTGGGTAGGACGCGCGAGGCAGCGACCGCGCGAAACCGCACCCAACTGGACGGGACGCGCGAGGCAGCGAACGCACGCAGAGCGACCTGAGAAATCTGCGCAAGACTTGAGGCGCAAGGCGGATCAACGTGTCTTGAGGGCCAAGTCAGCCATGTCTTCTAGAATAGCTATTATTATATTTCTATGCCTTGTGAGCACAGATATTTGATTATTATGGAGATTTTTAGGATCTTAGATATTTACTTTTCTTAGAACTAGACTTTATTTTCTCATAGGATTAGTATTTCTCTCATTAAATAGCTAATGTATTCATCTTCATTTTAATTAAGTAATAAGATATGAAAAAACACTATTTCGAGCACAAAAGCTCTTGTGTTAACTAAGGCCGTTAGTGCGAATTTCCACAAACACAAACACCACGATACACGATCTTCATCAAAGTCGCTAGGTGCCCGCTAGGCGCTCGACCAGTGCCTAGCGCTTAGAGAGCCTAGGTGTAGCCTAGAAATTAAGATTAAATATCTTATTTTTTATTTATTCCCAACTTGTATTAAATCCACACATCTAGTGTCTAAATAATAATATTAATATATTATAAAGAAAACATGATAATAAAATAATGTAATTAGTATTAGTATTTAGAAAAAAGCTGAAAACTTATCGTTGAACCCGCCTAGGACTGCCGAGGTCCCAGCCGCTTGGCTGCTGAGCCCGCCAAGGCTTATGGCCAATTTTTTCAGCCGATTCATGCAAATCGGAGGCGGCAGCCTAAGTCAATTTTTAGTACAGTGGAAAACACTTATTTCTCTCTTTCTTTCGTATAACTTCTCAAACTCTCTTTCCATCTCCTCACTCACACGTTTGGGCATGAATTATTGGATTGAGAGAACTGAAAAAATGTTGATTTATTAGAGTTTGGTATATTTTTGAATTTACCATTCAACTCCAAATTACAAAATTTGATTACAAATTTATTAACTCGTTTTATCTCCCAATATTTAAGATATAACGTCTGTTAATTAATTTAATTACTGACAATTGAATTAAATTGACTTCTTGTATATAAAATTAGTAGCACTCAACCTTTTCATTATTTGAAAGTTAATACACCTGCAAAGTTTAGCATAACAAACGTTTTGAGCTCATTTCGGGTATGTCATCAACCAAACACACAGTAACACAGTGTCCGTTAATAACTTTGCTTGCACATCATGTAAATATATTATTACCCAATCACCCAGTCTTGATCCAATTTATGAATCTCATTTTATGGTAAATTAAAGTAATAAAAATTAAATACATATGCCCATTTAATCTTACGGATTAAAAGTATGAGCAATAACTAAAGTCTAGTTTATTTACTCGGTCATTATAAAATAAACTTATCCTCCTATATACTTGATAAAGATAAACTTGAACAAGAAGGAAGGAGCACTTAAGCGGAGGATGGAATTAAATTTGGAATCAAACATGCAATTCACAGACAATAATAGAAAAGGTACTTACTCATCGACATGATTGCTCAGTGGGTGGAAGATGTTGCAGTGTTCGATGGCGGAATAGCAGTGGTGAAAACTTAGTTTTTACCGTGGGAAGCATCGAAAGATTATATAGCAGAGAGATTTTCGCAAAGGTGGAAAA